ACAAGAGCCGATACCTGGCTCTCCAACTGAGATGATCGCACGGTCTCAAGGACAACCCTGCGCTCGAGCCTATCTCTATCTGTCGCGTCAGCAGGTGGCTCATACTCTCTGAGCACCCTCTGAACCTGGGCACGCCTATCACTCGCCTCTCTCTCCTGAATCCTGAGGACCGCCTCGGCCTCCTCTAGAGTCTGGACYTTCTTCCYCTCAAYAAATGTGCGGAGATCACTCACCACCTCTCTCAGTGCATCGTGCTCCATCTGTCTGTCGCAACTCAACTCAAAGGGTCGGATGACAACTCTCCTCGTGTAATCCCGAACCTGCTCTATCGCCAGTCGAGCTGCTACGAGGCCACTACCAATATAGTTCCTCTGCAAGGTTAAGTCGTCATACAGTACCGTGAGCCCACCARTGGTCTGATCAACCGACAAGTGTGGTCTCGCGGCCTGGCCCAGTCGCTCAAAAGCCAGCCAAGCTGGAAAATGTAATAATGGCATCTGTCCCATCTCCTCGGCTAGCCATGCATCCCTCATGACAGGCTCATGATCTATTGGTCCCCGAGACTCCGGCATGCTCTCCTCCTCATGAGTCGGAGATGCGTCCTGGGTATGCTCCGTGCCTGCCTCAATGTGCCCCCTCATACTGGCCTTAGCCTGATCACCATCTCGTCGTGGARTATCCCCAAAGTCTAGTGGTGACGTCTCCACTCGCTGGGTCTGCATGTCCTCCGTGAGACCCTCTTTATCTAGCCCCAAAACCTCGGCCTCAACTCGCTCTGTCTCCATGTCCATGGCCGAGGGCTGGGATACCTCCTGTCGCATCTGCATCCTAGGAGACTCCATGTCATATAGTTGGGCAGTCAATGAACCCTCAGGCTCAGTTGGCTGCTCAACCAATCGACTCTCGCTCAGTAACGGTGATCCGTCCAATGATGAGGGTCCCATCGCACCTCTCTCACCATCCTCCACTGCCGGCTCTGACCGAGACTGGACCCTCTGCCCATCATACCCTAGCTCATCATGCATCGGCGTCGTCTCTCGCGGCCACTCAGGCTGAGGCTCCTCGTGCTCCTGCATCGGTCCTATAGTGGCAGACCCTATTATAAGCGGTAGCTCCCTTTGCGGGAGATCTAGTGTCATGTCCCGTGTGTCTCTCCATCGATAAGGCCTCTCCGACGCAGTATCGGGAACCACTCCCTCCATGGTATCTGTCTCTGTAGGCCGGGCCGAAGCAATCGTCAACACAAGTTGTAGGGAAACCTCCCCCCCATCCCGTATGGGTGTAGGTGGAGTAGTCCAATCTGTCTCAGGCGCACCACGGTCTCTAACCCCTATCTCAGCCGGACATGTCTCTGGCGCTGGCACTGTCCTAATCTCTGGAGTAGATAAGACACTCTGTCTCTGAGACCCTACTAACAAGGCCTCCTCCCCCACATCATACGTCGGGAGGGTCCTCCCAATATCAACCGTCARCACGTGATCACTCTCCTCTAGATAATCCCCTCTATGCCGACGTCCTCGACGCCTGCCTGTCCTAGGCCTGCGTGGAATCTCTGGCTGCTCACTCTCTCTCTGCTGCTGTCGCAATCGCCCCTCATCATCCTCATCCCTCTCTAGCCGCGCTCGCGGGCGTACCCTGAGCTCCGGGATGTAATCCCCAACCTCTCTGCGCAGCATGCGTCGTCTGTCAGCGGTGAACGCCTCTCTAAGCGTCGCTATAAGCTCCGCCCAAGCCTGTACTGTGTGTGACATGGCACTCACCTCATGTCTAAGATCTGGGACAACCCAATGCCTTATCTGCCTAACCCTCTGTGCCTTATACCATCTCTGCCCATCCCCAAAAATGACGAAAACCTCAAGGAATTCATCCAGGTTAGCCCCGTCAAACCGCATGGGCCTACCCTGTCGATCAATGGGCTGAGGATGCAATCTCAGCATCCGCCTGGCGAACTGCCTCCAATCCAATGACTCTCTCACGATCTAAGCCACACGCTCATCATAGCTGCCAGTACCCCAGACCCTCTAAGTCATCTGAGCAAAATCTAACTGAAGGATCCATACCTGCCTAACTAACCCGTCCAAAAATGGAAATATATGTCCACCCCCGTAACGGAATGGATCCAGTATCAAAGACGTGGCTAGTCGCTCATCCTCCTGTCCCGCCATCCTCCCGCCCCTCCAAATAATGGTCAACTTCAAAAAGTCAACCCTGCACAAATAAGAAGGACGGGCGATAGAGGAAACAAAAGTAACTATAGGAGGAGATGGGAAATGCCTATACTAACTGACTCAAGCAGATCTCTCATACCCTCAGACGACTGACCTGACTCATGGACTAAAAACTCATACTAAGACTTATCTACATACTAACATACAATTCTATCCTATCATTAATGCAAAGTATCACCTAACAAGACGAGAAATCAGATACTATTTCTACTCACGACACTTTTTCCGTCACGCTTACCTTAGTCCCGCGCTTTGAACTTTTTCAGTTTCGAACCGGAGACCCAATCTCCCCACGGCGTGTCGTTCAGCTCCTCAATTTCGTATGCTCCATGCTGCCCACACCGTCTAATGCGATACGGGCCTAACCACCGCTTGTCCAACTTGCGCGACCACTGTTATTCTAGCGACGAGTCATATAATAGCACCACATCTCCAACTTCCAATGGCTCCTTCCTGACTCGTGGGAGGAGATCCCACCTCTCCTTACCCTCTAGCCGACTGTCGGTTACCCGATCTGCCGCTTCCTAGATCCTCTCTTCTGCGATGTCAACTTGTCTGGCCCGCAAATCCAGCAATTCCTCGAAGGACAAGGTGCTTTCCATATCCTGCCTCCTCCATGTCTTCAGAAAGCTCTCTATCGGGAGGGTGGCATGCCTTC